TTCATTGCTATGTTGTATAACAATATTTGGATAATCATCTGAATTATAAGAATAATAATTGTTAGTATGATCATAATGATAATAATATAGTAATATAAATAATGATATTAATTCAGTAGGAAATTTTGCTATTTTACTTTCATTTAAAAATTTCTAAATCATTTCAAATATTTCAAATTAAACAATATTTGATATTTGCTTATCTATTATTATTATATCATTCTGTTGCAATTATTAGACGAAACATTTTTCGATATTGAAAATTTGAAATTGAATATATTCAATTGATATAAACAATCTAAAAGTATTCATTTTCTTTTTGCATATAATTTAAACAACATTTATTGATAAATTTATACAAAATTGTCAAATTTATCCAAAACATAATGAATGATATTATCCATGTTATCATCTATTGTTAATTATGAATTAAAAAGAAATAAATAAATAATATGAATATCATTTTACACTATCAAAAGGAAATTCTTCGAAATTTATGATCTAATATATAATCAATTTTTGCATATCAAATTAGTTACTATTTTATAAAGCTTTCATTCGACGTCAGATTATTAATATTGATATTACAAATGAAGCAATATTTGATAAGTTGCTTTATACATTTTGATATATTATTGATTTCTTCCGATATTAATTTCAAATTAAAATTTTACCATTGATAAATAAAATGAGAAAATTCCTATCATCAATGCCTATCATTAAAAAATAAATATTTAAAACGGTGAAAAAAAATGAAACAAATGAAACAAAAAAATAAAAATAAATGTCGTTGTACATTAATTTAATTAGAGTTATTCGAATTATCTTTCATAGGTTATTTCAAAAAGGCAAAAAAGAAAAGGTATCGTAGGAAAAATGTGGTAAATTGAAATAATTGCCAAACCGTTTTCCCTAGCAATGATGAAATTCAACGTAAAGTTATTTAACATTTAAGTGAGTGAATGTATTTATCAATAAAATTTACAAATAATTTCATTCTCGAAATTTCTGATTGCTATTATTAAGATAAAAGAAAAAAAAAGAAAAGAACTTTAAAATTTCATTAATTATATAATCTAAATAAAATTAAAAAATTTGGGAAAATAAATTTTTTAAAAAATTAAAAATCATTTTAACTGAACAAAAAAATGACAATTTGTTTTTGTCTTCTTCTTCTTTTCCTTCCTTTACCTCTCTCTCTCTCTCTTTCTCTTTCCTCTTTCTTTAATGGTAAAGAATTAAGAATGAAGTAAATCTTGAGTGAAATTTACAATCAATTAACTTCTACTATAATAAAAAGAAAAATCATCAAATAAATACCCTAATATTCCAATATCTATCCATCCTACCAGTTTACTTTAAAACGACGGATTACAACAAGAATGAGAAAAAAAAGAGAAAGTCTAATAGATATATTTATATCCATCCGATCTGATCCGATACCATCTGATCGCACTATCTATTTATCTATCTATCTATCTATCTATCTATAAACATTAATAGCAATAACAGTGCAAAAATAAAAGTATAGAAATTAAAAAACGAAATTAATGGAAATCATAATGTTCTTTTTTTTTCGTTTAATTATTTAAATTGTCATTCTCAATGGAAATATTTCAATTATCACATTAGAGAGAAAAAAATGTTAAATTAACATTTGCAAATTAACACATTGAAATGATAACAATTGATATTAACAAATTAATTGTAGATTAATATTTACCTTTTCATACTTTCTTTTTCTCTCTCCCTCTCTCTCTCTCTCTCTCTCTCTATCTTTTCCTTTCTTCTTTCCCTCCTCTTTCATATTATCATTTTTTTTAAAAAAACAGAAAAGTTCCCTGAAAGATCAATAATCATCATCATCATCATCATCATCATCATTATTCATATGTTGAAAATATCTTTATTTATTCAACTACCATTAACAAAGCTACCAATTCTTTTTCTCCTTCATTTGCACTTTGCATTTCCTTCCTTGTTTTTATTTAATACTTTAACCTATCTAACCTGACTTTCGTGTTTATCAACATTATGTAAACATTTCTCTTTAATTTTAGAGAACGACTAGCATTTTGATGATTGTATACATAATATACATATATCAAATTAATATTTTAGAGCTAGATAAAATTTTTGTAAATTCATTCATATTATTAACATTTGAATAAAATGAAATTTCATATTAAAGTTTAATAAAAATGGTTATGAAGAAATTCTTAATGAAGTACTCTAAAATTTCAACATTTCTTTCCTCATATATTATTATACAAACATATCATTAAAAATGAATGGGATATTTTTTTGAGATTGAATGAGTAGAATTAAAGCCATTTTGGTAAGGATAATGAAGAGGGATTACAACGTTGTGTGAAATTTTCAGCAATCTTATTTGTACAATTTTAATGAATTAAGCAGTTGTACGGATGATTTAAAATAAATGATACAAATATTAGGATATCATCTTTTTGCTGTGTGTCATTTTCAACAAAAGAAAAAGAAAGGAATAAAAATTGCATAGAATTTCAAATTCTTAAATCTCTAATTTAATCAATTTAATTTTTCATCATTAAATACCACGACACAAAGCAATATGTTTATTGTCTAATAAATTTTTTAATTTATCACTCATCTAATTTATTCCACAAAACTCAATTCCATTTTTGCAACTATTTCAATCGTAGAAACGAAAATTTTGAAAAATAAATGATAGCATTTTGAAAAGAAAAAATATTAGAAGGATATTTTTAATGTTTGGAATGGGGAGAATGGGTGAAAAAAGGTAGAAAAATCATGCATAAACATCTGGACCGGTTCTCATTTCATGGTTAACTAAATTATAATAACCTCACGATAGTAACTTCATAAGTCCATTCTCATTCCATTTCATGATTAACTAAATTATAACTTCATATGTTCCCAAAAAAAGAAAACCATCTAACAATGATACAATCATCGGTTATCAATATTCTACCGCTACGTTATTAGATTGTAATCAAAAGAAAATGGAAGAGATTGACATTGATAAAATGTCAGTAACAATGGTATGTAATATTTGTAAAAGTTGTTGAAGCGTCATGATGAAAATATGCAAGCAATGCAATAAAATAGAAATACGTATTTTAAAAACAAACATTAAACATTAAATCCAAAGAATACAAAATTCTTTCATTTACTTTTTAGAACGAGGAAAGAAATATATTATAACTTATGTTTATTGCTATAATGCATTGCTCCCTTAACTTTAAACTACTTTCTGTTCAAATCCACAACAGAAATTTATGCAAAACATCGCCATCGGTATGTACATTTGAAATTTTGTATCATTTTTTAAACGGTAGTCATATCGCACAGTATTTTACCTATTCCCGGTATTATAAATCTTTTTTTTTTCCCCCCACCCCCCAAACAAGTTACGCTGCCGTAAAACATATATATCGCATTAGAAACCTGAAATGAAGCCCGTCACATCTCAAAGTTCGCCATTTTTGATCTGATGACAACGCGAATAACTAAAGATGAATAAAGCAAGAAATAGCTTTCTCGTAATGAAAATTTTACGGCGAATTTACCATACTTACCATGTAAATATGCACTGACTGAGGGAAACATTAAACTTTATGCGAAAAAACAAAAACGAAAAAGAAATTTGAAACAGCAAAAAAATTCATATTTCGGGGAACTTCTAACTTCAAAAAACAAGTAAAGGTTGATAAGTATGCTCAGAAATCTTAGTTTAGAAAAAAAAATGCGCTAATCCCTCGCCACATTGCTTCATGAGCGATCATTTAGTACAAATACGACCTGCACCTGATGGGTTAGTTCACTGTTACTGTTAATGGTGAAGTTCACAACGATGTCGGTAAGATCTGCATACCTCCCCTGTTCAAGACGCAAATTCTGAATCATCAAACCGGAGTAAATGGATGAATCGTTTCAATTTCAACTGGTACTACATCCTCTTCTACGCGCACCGCATAACAACCCTATATCGTACCAGCACGGGACAGACATTTACTGAAATTAGTTTCTTACTCAAAAAATCGAAATTCCTTTCTCAAACGAAAAAAAAAGCTCCCATCACAATGTGCAGCTATTTTCCTCGTTTATATAAATTTGCGCTAAACAGAAGTTTTCGAAAATTTTCAAAAAAACCACTTTTTTTATCTGAATATGTAATTTCCTTCTTAGTTTTCTTTCTAAAAAGAGATGGACATCACATGGAAGGGAGGGAAGTAACAGTTCAAAAAGCAATTTTTTTTATTCCTTATGAGTTATAAAAATCGCCAAATTTCTAATCCAAAATTACGCTAATATTGGTTTTGAGTAAGCGAGGGATACCGTGAAGGAAAGAAAGATTAATGTTTGCTTTTAAGCGAGGGATAGCGCGGAGAAAAGAAAGAGATCAAGGGTAAGTGATGATTTCTAGAATTAATAAACAATTAAAATGCATGTTATAAATAAACATTAGAAAGGTAAATTCGGTTAACCAACCAGATGCAACTTCCTTAACTTAATATTAGTGTAGTATGAATAATAACTAGATGAACTAAACAATGGTTTATAAATGGGATTAGATATATTTAACACGTACATAGACTGGTCCAATTTTTGTGAGGAATCGTTAAAAGGTGCAGTAAAATGAAAATGGGAAAAGTAATTACGGATATAACAAAAGTGTAAAATATTTTTGAATCAGCCCCTAGTTTGAAAATGTAAAGGGAAATAAACGCTTGGAAATGAAGAATATAAAAAGGAACGTGTGTCACATAAAAACATAAATTTTTTCTTTTTTTATGCTTCTGGCAAAAGAAAAGAACCCTAAACTACATCAATTTTTAATTTTATTGAGTTCCCAACCAACCCTTAATTCCTAGAAAAACATGAAATAAAAGAGAGAAAAATAAAATAAAAAATATAAAAACAATCCCTCATTTAAAGCGTACTAGTAACAATTGAAAAACATTCATAACACATTTCAAATTTGCTTTGCAAATCTGTCACTTGGTTCGTTTGGCATAAAATTTCAACGCCGAAAGATTTGAGGGTAAATTTCGCAGTGTACTTTTGTCTCTTTTGTAAATATCGCAGATCTTTCGAGCCTCATATATGCTCTTCCGTACTTTTGGACAGACCAAAACCTGTAGAAGAATAAACAAATGGATAAATGCCTTGAATACAATTTCCAACTTTATTTCATCAAAATATATCTGGCATTGCGAGTCTGAAACGGAAGCAGAATCAGAACCAGGGCTCTTTAATCATTTCCATAGTATTTCTAAAAAAAATTTAAAATATATCGAATTTTAAGATAAATGGCTATTTCTGAAAAAATCCAACACCTCATATATCATAAAAATTAAATTACGAACTGAAATGAGAACTTGGTCACCGAATATGACGTACTGCGACAAAATTTTATTTCTCTAACAAGCATCTCAATCCAAAGCAGACAAACCTGATTTATGTCCTCTTCGCTGCAGTGGCTATAATATTGAGAAAAGACCGATAAAATGCGATCTTTAATTTGTCGAGCAATATCGTCGTTCCGAGTTACCAGATTCAGAGCCAGTACTCCTGCAAATCGAGCAAAAAAAAAATGATCAAACGAATTTAAGGAACCGAGTTAAAAGGAAATCACAGTTTTTCCATATCATAGAACAATTTATATTTATTGATCTATTAGGTTCATCATTTACTTCCTGACTATATTCAGAAATTCTATTTTAATGTTTCATATAAGACCATTATGAGTAGAGCTGATTCTTTGTATGTTTAAATCGTTTCGATGTGAATTCCAGTCTCGATGTTAATGTTAATCAATACAAAATATATGAGTAAGAGTAAATGAATAAAATGAGTACAAAACATGAAGTGTATCCTACCAAGCATAATGATTTCCGTTACTTAATTCAATTTTTTTTTTGATTTATATCATGCCAATGCATACTGGGTTCTTGTATTTACCGCTTATGTATAGATATTTCTGTGCTTATTTTTGTGTTGTTTGAACTTCTGCATTTCTATCAACTAGATGTCTCATAATTTCATTTTCAAATATCATTGCCACAGCAAATTTTTCTTCACTGATAACTTGTAAATAAACTTCATGTGGATATTAGAATACTGATAAAAGAGGATTTAAACATACATTAGAAAAGCTAAAAAATAATTGAAATATACTAGTAACATGAACAATAATTCAATTCAAGTAAAATTCGAAAATGAATTATATGATATCCACAACACATAAAAATTTCCAAAATATGAAATAGTATAGTTGAACACTTTACCTCTTTCACGAAGCGCAGCATACATCTTGTTCAGAGCTTCCTCCGTTACAAATGACGGTAATGGACAGCTTAGTCCATCTTCGTGCTTACTTCCAGCTACATCAATGAATATAGCATCAAATAGAAGTGATTCATCTGAAACTTTAATGTGCCAAAATTTTGCTAAAATATCCGTAAGATTCTGAAATTAAGGCTATCAAAAAAAAAGGCAGTCCAAAATTAAGGCTGCCTAAAAAAAATTCAGTCCTTTGTTAAGTGTCTGAAACCATAAAATTTAAGTTTGAATGACTACTTAACTTCTTGTTGCACTAGTTCTTCAACATATGTCAGAGCATCCTTGATCACAACGGACAAACGCGAGTCACTGTTAAAAGAAAACCAATTTTTTGCAATTTCTACAACCTTCTGATCCAATTCTACAGCTACAATAGACATCTGAAATAATGCATGAAGAAATTTAACTTAGAGAGTGTGTTTAACTTAGAAATATGTGAAATTCATATCTTACTTTTTTGTGGCAATTGCCAATTCAAATACAACTTCAAATTTATTCGAAGTTTGGACTTACTGAAGGAAATTTGAGGTGCAGGAAGGAAGGAAGAACACCACCACCTAATCCAAGAATAAGCAGTCTGAAATGACATAATTATCATCGCGTGGTTCGTTTCATATGGAATAAATGTTCGTAAATATGCAAGCTACAGGAAAAGTGCAACGAGTAAACAACAGAATGAGGAAAAAGTACCGTGATTTGGTCGATTGGTTCAATCTTTCACCAGGACGTAACATGAAAGGTAATGCCACCAGCATCGCTTCGTGATATTCCGAGGCTAGTGAATGCAAATCCACAATTTCGCAACCTCTTTTATTTCCTGCAAAATAATTTCATTAATTAAATCAAATTACTCAAAAAATTAGAAATGAACGTTTCCGTAAAGTAGCTTCTAGCAAAATAACAATAAATACTGCTCTGAATATTCGCGAAATATGAAGTACGTTTGCCTTCCACACACAACTTTCTTTTTGAAACAATTGTTTCCCTACTTACTTGTCAAGGTGAATAAATAACTGTTGAGTGAATCTAATTATGTGAAGAAAAAACAACTTTCCAATATTCTGGAGCATATGCCTCACCATACTGAAATATGAAACTAAGAGATCCGAAAATTATATTATTCTCGGAAAGGAAGATGGCTGACATCATGTATATTCCCTACTTAAGATCCACAATCAAATTTATATTTCTATTGCGGAAAATTATCTGTGCTACTCTCACTTTATTTTTAAAATAAAACTTACGAATCAATTTAGCTTCAGACTGTACTAGATTTTGGGCAGACAAAAAAACAAGTCTTCGATAGAGAGAAGTTTGTATGCGAACATCCTCCACTGCCCATGGCCCGTTGACATCGGAATGCCCCGAAGCACGTGTTTCCTTAACATCAATTTTGCCGAGTGAAAGAAATTCAACCACTGACTTATGCTGAAACGAAACATTTTTTTATGCTTGGTCGAAAATATAGGATAAAATTTAGCAAACAAAAATAAAGTAATAATCACAAAACCTCAATTTTCTGAAGCAGAGATGCTGGAGTAAGCTGAATTACATATGGACCCAATTCATCCTTGACCTGCTCCATACTTTCATATTTTTGATCACGATAAAGTGTAACAACTGCCAACCGGTCCTTACAACACTGTTTGCGTAATGATAAACGCCCTCTTTCAGTAGCGAAAAACCAGTCATGATCTCTAAAGTATTGAGATTTAATTTTGAGGATGAATATCTTATGATACATTGAAGTGTCATCTGGAATTATAACAATTCCACAAGAACGGAAACTACCTGCCAACCGGAACGATGAAGACGGCAAAGGAATTTAATTCATTGACTTCAGGATCGTCTAGAACTGCTATTTGATATCGCGGTTTTTCATCGTTACCATGTAGTGTCAAATTCACTTCGTCTTCCAACTTTCTGAAAAATTCCCAGAAATATATAATTTCAGCAAAACTGGAAATACTCATTATGTGCATTACAGTCATTTGATACGTAATTTTATTCCTGTAAGCAAAAAATGAGAGAAATTTCTTCCTATCATTTCGTTTAAAAATTATTGGAATGCTCCCTTGTTTAAAACTGCACATGGCACTTTTATGCTGAACGATTCATACTTGGAACAGAGATGGCGAAATCGCGAGAATTCTTGCTCAGCATTTATCGCATTGATCAAGCTTTCCAAACATGAGAATTTAGCCGCTTTCTTTTCTATTGAAAGTATCAACTCCATATACTGCAAATACAAAGACTAATATTTGTGATGCTATAGGCACTAAAACTTTATGGTTGTCTTACATTACTTCTAGCAAATTTGCTCTAAACTTTTGCTTATATTTTCATCAATTATTATCGCTATACCAGGATTGTGACTAATAGGATAATGAACAATACGCACCGCTATTTCAGAAGCAACAGTACACTCATACAACAAAAGTTGAAGAGCGGAACCATTTCTTGCTAATTCACTGTTTAGATTGTCAAAAGTAGGAAAAATGTTAGGAAAAATCGTTCAATCACAGCAAACATTTAGAAGTTCTTAAACTGATATGAACCAATCTAAATCTTATCAAGAGCAAAACTGCATAAAAAATTCACTGGTGAAGGAAGAGAAACACGAAGTTTCGTCGCGATAAGCAAAAACACTGGTAAAGGAAATTTCCAATTGGCATCAATATTTTTTTCAACCCGTATAATGAAATTCTTCCTATAAATTCATATTATTCACATTTGCACACAAAAAATATGACATTAATCTCAACTAGAATCGACGCTCATACTTGGGTCTTTTAATCCATTCCATTAAATTCTTTTCCCTTCCTTGTGTAAATCAACACTTATACCCAACCAGGATCAGACCGTTTTTATACCGGATTCTATTCCATTCCTAAGCTTAGCATAATTTTCTTCCCACATATGACCGTGTGAAACAAACCGTTTCAAAAAAAATGGCATATATGAATTGAGCACGTGTTTTTGAGCAAGAGTAAGGACAATGTATCGACCTCCAACTGTAAGCACCCGGCATATCTCTGAAAACATTTTTTCCACATTTTCCACCACGTCTTCACATGCCAATGGTACTAGCGCATCGAGCGTCCCCTTGTCCAGGATAACGTTGTACTTTTCGTCTGGTGCGTCAATCTTCAGAAATTTTATAGCAAAAAAATTGAAAAAACAAACAGTATAAGTGACTAATTTATTGAGTTTCGTCGTAATTAAATTAAAATGCTCGCCAAAAATCCGAAAACTAAACCAGGTGGATTTCTATGAACTATAATCAAAGTGGTTTGCAAACTGCAATTGCTAAGTGCAATTAGAAACGAAAAACCTCACTTTTGTTGCAGAGCAACATATAAATTGCAATCCCGGTCTGGATGAGTTCTTGGCAACCTGCTCCTTGATGACTCCTTCATCAATATCGATACTATCAATTATTCGATAACCATTATCGTAAAGCTATAAGACATGAAAATCGTAAAATACAACTGAAAAAAATATATATGTTTCAAAATTCACGATTTAGGTTTCAGTTTCATAAAACAAGGCCCTTACGATACAGAAAATAAATGCCAAGAAAATGAGAGAAACATACAAACTACGAAAACTCTGAACTATTATAGCGTAACGCAAGTATAACGAACGGTTGTATAACATCATAAAAATTCTGTCATTTCTCTGACAAAAAATAGTCGATTTTTTAAATAATTAACCTTTGTATTTGTGCTTCAAGCTGTTCCTCACTTATTTCTATGATAGTTTCAAACATACCTGACTTGCTAATTCCGAATTGCCGCATCCAATTTGTAGAATTTTGTCAGTTGATTTTAAATATTTGATCAAAACGCGCCCAAAAGTCTTGAAATCACCATACCTGAAAAAAAAATACAAATATGACATTAATTTCAAATAACACCAAAGCATGTTCTGAATAGGAAAAAAAATGATGCGAGTAAAGCAACTTATTAATGATCTTACCATTCGAAAGAATCATTGGAAGCCTTGTAAAATTCCTCCCAGAATGATGGATCCTGGAAATCGGCTGAGCTACCGGGAATAACTGACATAATACTCTGAATATTTACATTATTATTCCAGAACTTACTGTTCCGCTATATCGCCTAAGTAACACCTGCAATACCTCCACGGCAACTTGTCTCTAAACCTCTTCGAAAACACTCGCAAATAGGGTCGGCAGATTTGAAATAGTGGTTGTTTGCATCAGTCGTGGTTTTAACTGCGGACAATGTATACTTCATCAGTCTCTATGGTCTATTCACTTCAAATTCACACCTTTACCCACTCTCGATCTTAACTTTCGTTAGTCTTGTGCGACCATACAAGTCATGATTCCACGTAAGACCCTACAAGAACCATCTGCGCAATCTTACAAGTCCCAATTGCAAGACCTAACAAACTCCTTTTTTATTTCCCGAAATTATTCGTAATCTATTCGCCCGAAATCTACCAAACATTTTTCTCATTCATTGCAGTAGTGACCTGCACGTACCACTCTATAAATACATTTATGCAATCTTACAAATAACATTCGTGAGATGTAACAGACGCCGCCAGTCTCTATGATCTATTCATCTTGATTTCCGCTTACGCGACCGTACAACTCACTTTCATGCGGAGCCATATAGGTCTCGTTTCTCCGCGCTACCGTTCAGGCTTCTCCTGGTCACATGACCATTCAGATCTCTTGCACGTACAATCCTACACGCTCCACTACACAACCTTACAAGTACCGTTTGTGAAGCCTAGTAAATCCCGCTAGTCTATATGGTCTACCTCCCGAAACCCACTTCCCTATCTACTCTCGACTACTAGTTGCACGTTCATACAGGTCTCGATCGCGCGCGAGCCACACGAATCTCGCTTATACGCGCGACCATGCGGGTCTTCTTTGCATGCGCGATCATATAGGTGTCGTTTGCGTGCACAACCATGCAAGTCTCACTTGGAACCATACAGGTCTGCCTTGTACGCGCGGTCCCACCGACCCACTCATATAACCTTACAAGTGCCGTTTGCGAAACCTAACAAATCCTGCCAGTATATATGATCTATTCCGAAAGCCTACTTCTGTATCTACCCTCGACCTCAAATTGTGCGTTCATACAGGTCTCGGTCGTGCGTGAGGCCATGCAGGTCTCACTTGCACGCGGGCCATGCAGGTTCCTTTGCATGCACGATCATATAGGTCTCACTTGCATGCACAATCATACTAGCAACACTTATAACTTCATAATTACCATTTGCGCTTCCATACAGGTCTTCCGCGTGCGTTCATATAGGTCTCAACTTCATGTGCAATTATAATACAAAGCAATCATACAAGTCTCACTTGCGTTAGTGACTATATAGACCTCACATGGAATTATACAGATTTCGCTTGTACGCGCAAACCTACAAGCTCTACTCACACAACCTTACAGGTACTGTTTGCGTCTAACAATCCTTCCAGTCTCTGGAAGGATTGTTAGACGATCTATTTCCCCGAAGCCTACTTTCCTATCCACTCTCGGCCTTTACTTGCGCGTCCATACATCTCGCTTGTGCGCGTGACCATGCAGGTTTTCGTGCACGCGCAATCATGCAGATCTCGCTGTGCGTTACCATATAGGTCTCACTTGTAACCCATACAAATCATCCTTGCGTGCGCTAACCTACAAGCCCCATTCCCATAACCGTACAGTTACCGTTTGCGCAACCTAACAAATCTCTCCAATCTGTATGATCTGTTCTCCGAAGCCTACTTCTCTATCCACTCTCGATGTCTACTTGCGCGTCTATACAGGTCTCGTTCGCACGCGCGACTATGCAGGCTTTCTTTGCATGCACGATCATATAGGTTTCACTTGCAATTATACAGATCTCCTTTGCATGCACAATCATACTAACAACATTCATAACTTCACAACTACCATTTGCGCTTCCATACAGGTTTCCGCGTGCTTTCATACAGGTTTCATACAAGTCTCATTTGCGTTAGCGACTATATAGATCTCACTTGTAATTATATAATTATCCCTTTGCACATGCAAACCTACAAGCCCCACTCAAATAATCCTACAAGTACTGTTTGCGCAGCCTATCAAATCCCTCCAGTCTGTATGATCTATTCCGCGAAGCCTACTTCCCTATCCACTCTCGACCTTTAGTTGCGCGTCCATACAGGTCTCGCTTGCGTGCGCGATCATGCAGGTCTTCGTACACGCGCAATCATACAGATCTTGCTTTCGCGCGCCACCATGCAGGTCTTCGTGCACACGCAACCTACAAGCCCCATTTACACAGCCTTACAGATACCTTTTACGCAGCCTACTAAATCCCTTCATTCTGTATGGTCTATCCCCCAAAGCCTACTTCTCTATCCGCTGTCGACTTATACTTAATCCCTGTATACAAATGAATGTCTTTCTATGAGCATTCTTGGCAGTATTGTCATGATTATGGAAATTTGCATAATGTCGCAGAAAAATAAAATAGAATTGTAATTTCGCTAACCTTTCCTCACACGTTCTGCACCGCTTTCGTGATTAAATGTTAGCAGAGTTCATGCTTACTGTAAAGGACAGCCTGAAATATGCGGTTGGTTAAAATTTAAGATCGATTTGTCTGCAAAGTATTCTGAAACTTATGAGAACATTCTCAATTTTCAACGTTGCTATCTGTAATTCTGTAAATTCAACTTCTCCGAAATGGTGTTTTTTTTTTGAAACGTCTCATTTGCAAGTGCGAGTTTGTTCTTATAAGTTATATAGCAAATCTCACTTGCAATTGTTTTCGAACAAAGTTTATGGTTTTGTATATTACAGGAATTTCGGGTTGCTATTATTTATGGTTAGTTAAGTATTATTAGCGTACATTTTCTGTGGATGAATGGCATTTTTCTTTATACTTGACCATTGTATGGTTTACTAAGTATCCATGTATCCGTTACCGATTAACTATATTCTTGAGGTTTTTGTTGTTGATGGTAAAAACTACAACGTTAATATTCAAGTAATAATAATGATAATCGTGACTTTTCTTTACAGCAAAATATTAACGCATGAACTAGCAGTTCACGATTTTTGGGAGTTTCCCAACAGCACTGTTACTGATATCATTACCAGCATGTAAAGAAATATACATCGTTTGTTGGTAAACCATTTATGTTACGAAAATAGTAAACAATACAAAAAATTAAGCATAAATATATATGTTCATCCTTCCTTGTTATATGTTGCTAAATATGAATTTCTCCGTTACGGAGAATACGGAAAATGTTGAAAAGCTAATGTGTGAAGAGTTTTTCCATTTTCAGATTCGATGAGAGAAACAGAGAAAAAATTGATGTAACTTAAAGTGAAAGGAAATGCTTCGTTTTAATTGGTTAAAACGAACTTTGTTCTTGCTAATTTTGGTTATTTCTTTTTGGATGATTATTCGAAATATCAATGTATCCAGCTATGGAAATAGTAAGTTTTTTAATTATTTCCATACTGACTGTGTATTTGTCAAAAAGAAAAATCAGTTACATCATCTTTCTGATGTAAAGTATGGAAAATATCTTGTTTTAGGTTGGACTCAGTTGCAAAGAAATATTGTTCCTGTTAAAATCGGTGGTATGTGTACTTAATATTACTAAAAAAACTTGAACAGTGGATTTCTGGTATAGATATACAATGATTTTATGCAACAAAAAAATACATTAATTAGTCCTGAATGCTGAACATATGAATCTTTTCCTTCCGAAGAAATAAAATTGGAAGTACTGATTCAATTGTTTAATTATTACTGTTGCAGACAGTGAATGCATGAGAAAAGCTTACTGTCCAAAAGACGAGGTGACAATTCTATTAAGACCGGAAAGTCGAACGAAACCACCATTGCTCTGTTTGAGTAATAAAAGGTTATTTATTGAGAAAGCTGTTTTGCCTTAAATTAATGTCTTTGACTCAAATTCTATCAGCTTTTCCTTACTGAAAGATTGACTTCTATCTACTTCATTTGTTTGCACCAGTTCTCCTAATAATTGTCTTAGTTTAGTTATTGGTCATGATTCTTTTTTTTGTTGATAAATTTTGTGTAATATCCAAACAAGTAACTTACTTTCTGTGGTGGTTTCCATGCTGCAATATTCCGAATTTTTGCCGATTGCTTCTGACTCCTAGAGTATTCTTTCAACTGCTTCTATTGTTGTTTTCCAGTCAGGATCATATAAAGATTTCTTTATAATGGATTCCTCTCCGATTTTTTCAATTAAACCTTTCTGATGATCAGTTATTGCTCTGAGGAGCAATATCTTAACCCCTAACAACTAGTAGAACTTCTCCTTCTAAACGTTAAATAAGTCAGTTTCTAAACGTCTGGTATAATTTGGAGATCGATTTGACATCGAAACTGTTCCAGAATTGCCTCAACATTTTCGGATCACCGCCAAATGTCGTAATTGCAACTGTGATAGGTTTGCGCTTACTTATGGGACCGTTTTAGATAGTTGTTGTGAACGAGTTAGGTCTTGAGTTGTGTATCACGGTTGATAACTCATGGTCATCTTAGTGTAATTTCAGAGTTATTTTGACTTCTCTTCCTTGACTTAATAGTCATAAAATACCGTTTTCTTGATTGGTTATTTGCATATAAATTTCATCTTCCTTTCTTTTTTATACATCCTTAGTTTTTTGAATACAGTCGAACCAGTTGTTATTGATAGATTCAGAAATATCAACACGTTGCTCAATTCGTCCTAACTTTTCTTGGATAGACTGTTTTCGGACTTCATACAGCTGATATATTTCTTCTTTTGGTAGTTGTTGATTGATTGGTGGTGAATCCAATTTTTTTACTTCGAGAAGTCAGTTGAGTTTTTCTAGTGTTGGCTGGGCACTTTTAATCAAGATGGATGATATCCTGGCTCGTGGCACCATGAATATGTTGTGAAACTTTTTGATTTTAGAAGTCTGTTGTTTCGCTGACACAGATTGTTGTAGAGGTTTATTCTTGGCGGAACATGAGTTTATTCCTTCCTGACGTTATAATACAATTATCAGAAAACATAATTAATTGAGTTCGATCATTTGTTTTTGTTCTTTACTGTTGATACTCTTTATTGAGTTGGCTCAGATGAGTGTAACTTAACTGCTCCCAAATTGGCCGGTTTTGTCATGTATATATATATATATAGAGAGAGAGAGATTATTTTACATTTTTTACGTTAAAAAACTCACTGATTTTGTTTTTTTTTTCAGATTGTTCGATAGTTCGAAATTGGTAAGAGGATTAAATATCGCTATTTTGAATAGTAAGTTGTTAAGCTTTATTTAACTGGTCAAGTTGTTATCTGATGGAAAGTGATACGTGATAAGGTATTAGGTCTCGTTCCACATTTCATCACAATGTGTTGTATTTCTAGGCTTCTGAAAGCTTTTTCCAATTGGCCCTCAATAATGAATGTGGTGGTTAGTAACGGCATTTTATCCTGTTTATTTGAACTGTGCAAAATTGCGCTGGCTACTGTACTACTGGTTTTTCCTGAACTCAAATAGGTGCGTAGTTCAAAACAAAAAAAAACTCAGCCGTTGATTTCTGATTGTGCAAATGAATTTTAAATCTACACAAAATTGTTCTCTTCGTTTGTGTTAAAGGAATGTCAAAAAAGGCTTATATTATAGGTGACAAAAGCGTGGCCGGTGTACATTATTTAAGCGTTCAAGATAGTGATTTTTCTGTTATGAAGTTGTTGGCACAAGTACATAGTTATGAAATTATAGTGGGAACTTCGTATGGTGACGTTTCATCGAAGTATGTACTTTTTTTTTTTTTTGCTTTTCGCTTTCCAACGTTGTAATTCAATTTTTAGCTCTCTCAGCAAGAGATTCCAACACTGATTTTTTGATTTGTTAATATTTTTAATATCGAATATCTCTTAGTTATGACCCCAACCATAGCCGGACATCGGTCTGGGGAAAGATCGCATGATACCAGTTGTCAAGTTGTATTATTTGTTGATCCATCTCTTGCTAAAATTACCGTAGTTTGAACCATTTGAAAGGTCATCCAACTCTCGCATGACCTTTCCTGCAATAAGATGAGATGTGTTTAGATTTTTGAAAGAGAATGGAGTATTTTCAACTACTTAAATTCCAAAAATTGCAAACATAATTTTTTTTTTGTGAAAAACTCTAAATAAACAATCCAGGATCTCGGCTGAAACGCGGCAGTTATTGCGTTTGTTCGGTCTGTCACTTGCGCAGTACAAAACACAGAGCAGCATACTTTTTGTGGGACAATTAGGTCTGCCAGTTCCAGCAGCTTTTGAAAAGGTTGTTACTCTGAAATCTTTGTTGTCATTCTTTACTGAATACAAATTTTTATTAATTCTTTGAGATTAGTGTTTTTCCCAACAATAATTCTGGATATTATTGGACTTTTATTTCTACCTTTTTCTGTATTTTTTTAAAGGTCGTCTCAATGGAAATAATAGAGCCGAAATATTATGTCAGATGTTTGAAATCACCGAGTATGTTACACTTGTCATTTTTATATCAATTATCGTTAAGGTTGTTTACGTAATAGTTCCGCTGGCTTATTGAAAATTTCTAAATTTGATCTTGTTCATTTGGCACCAGCTACCGTTTAATCAAAATTATTGCTACATAATTTGAAGTCGGTAGTTTCATAGTTCTGCGGTAATGCATCTATCTAAACAAGCGAGTCGTTATTCCCGCATGGAATAAATTAAAATTTACATATTACGACCGACAGAATCATACTCACTGCATTGACTGGAATTGTTCGTACAGATTTTACGTACAGAACATGCAACGAATATTAGGCTTATATTTCTGTTAAATGTTTGTTATGAAAATCTTTGTTTACAGTGGGAGAACTGTCAAATGTTACGATACAAGTACCGGAAGCACATCATATCGATGAGCATGTTGTTGCTCAACTATCAGCTGTAAAAGGACAGAAAACGAATGTAAAATTGGGTGAAGAATTACCTAACTGCGGTCATTCAGAGAATTGTTCAGAAGGTCCATCTTTTCTTTCCCTCTCTACCAATTAAAAGTTCTTTTCCGTTATGGGACATTCTCAAGAGTATGTTTTGATGATTAGCGTATGGCCATGTTGAGCATGCAGTCGCGCTGCTATTCGTTGATGCTTTTCATAAAATAACCTTATATTTTTGCTTATTCAAAGAGTGAATGTTATTAGTCGCAGCTTAGTGAATAATGATATAATTTGAATACTAAGCATTTTGCTTTATATTTTGTTTAATTCTATAAGTGTTAAGCAAAATCCTGAAGTAATCTTGCAAAGTTTGTACTTTTTTACTTGAACTAGGATCTTTTCCGCGGTTATTGGTATGGTATTTGTCTGGAGTGACAGATAAAGGCTGAACCTATGCAAGAAAAGAATATAACATTTCAAGTCAAAGTTAAAAGTAATTTCAGTTATTGTTTTGGATATAAGGAAATAACTTGACATCAAATCGATTTTTAGATGAAATTCCGATGCTTTTTTATTCGGGAAAGGACAAAGATGATTCGCCTCAGTTGTGTGTTAATGGAAGGTTGTAAGTGTTAGTATTTTTGACAGGACTTTCTAATAGTTTATATTTGAAGGAAAAGTTATAAAGTTATGTAGTGCTTCATCATTTTGCTTCTTACATCCAGTATGCTTCATTACCCAAGATCTCCTCATTCTAATACTCATTATCAATTCATTATTTGGGTGCTGTTCATTTGTTAGCAATGTTGCTGGAATTTTGTACGAATAAGTATTCGGATCACTTAATGAATTCAATCATTTTTCTCCTTTTGGTCTACGCATCAAGTACATGAAATAATGGTTGCAGAATAATAGATCGAGATCTGAACTCTGCTGGTCGTGGACTGAATTTGGTTGTAATTGATTCCAAAACTCATCAAGTAATGCGTACTGGGCACTATGATACTTATCTTGAAGGTACACAACTTTTTGTTACGGATCATTGTTCATGTTGATGCCTAAACTTTTGTTGTGCAAGCTTTGTATTTCTAGCGGAAGCAAGCCAATAATACTGTGACATTTCTGGTCACTTTAGTGACAGAATTTGATTCTTTTGAGAATTATATATAAAATAATGAAAGCATCACCCAAACTATTGGTCAACTTAGTCTTTTTAGATAGTTCGGGATTAGTTTTGTTTTTGGAGCAACTATCACCCGGAGAGATTGTTGCTGTAATCAGTTTTGATGAAGCATCGAACAGGTTTGTTAGTTGTCTGTGTTATCAATAGTTTCTATATTTTTAAAAAAGAGAAACGGTATATTAGTTTCCTTTTCAGCCTATCAGACATGGCAAAACATGTTTTCTACGAGTTAGGTTCAAGCCTTATATATCGCTTGAAATTTCGTGCTTCATGGTATTTCATTGGGCAGAAAGGAATTGATGGTTACACACCATTCGAGGATATGAATTTACCATCTGGCAATGACTGGGCTAAACCGATTAGACAAACTATTTGTGTACCCTCATTGTGTAGGTTCAATCAATCTCACGGTATTTTAAAATAAGACGTTAGTTCATTTTAGAGTTTTAATAAGAAATTTTTTAGTGGATGGACTCAAAACAGTAAAAAATCGTTTGCCAAAGGCCCAAAATATGCTGCGAAGACATTTTTGCTCACGGTACGATGGTTATGAAGACTTTTGTGACGGTTCGTTTACTTTATGTCATTTTCTTTTTTACTTTACGTATTGTGTGATAATTTTATCTCCAATTTCTATGCTTTTGCTTTCATTCTATATATATTATTTATTTATTTATTTATTTATTTATTTAATTTATTTGTATTGGATTACATATCTTCATTTTGTCACCCGAGATAGCGTATAATCATCTCTTGCACTTTTGACCATCCCTTCTAGTAATAAATTATCTGCGGTAGCAAATAATTTATGGCTTTTAAGTACTTATGCCAGTTTAAAGCTTGTTTAAATTGTTTTACTTCATGATAATAGGTACTAAAATTGGCTACTTCTGATGTAATTAAAGAAGGAAATTAATATGATTTTTTGACTCCTCCATATATCTGTTTTCAGAAAGCCGCCTCGATGTCCCATTAGTACCACGTAGTGGTCAGACTCATATACCATCGACTGATCCCATTTATTCGGTTCCAATATTACTAGCTGGAGGTTTGTTCCTTTTGTGATTCATATTTTTGGTATTTTTTTTAAAATCCTTTATATATGTACAGGGCTATCTAAATATGCATGACAGAGAGTAGTCAAAAAAATGTAAGGTAAACTGAGAAATATTTTATTACTTCTAGTTTTGATTGTCGTTCTTTTTGTCTTCAGGAAAGTTTGAATTAAAATTACATTATTACAGGTTTGAATATGAATAATATACGTCTGTGCTTGGAAAGCATTTACGATCAAGCTGGTATTAATCCGCAAAACGTTGTTGTTGCATTTGATTCCATTTATGGTGAAATATCAGATTTGAGTGCATTATTTCATGTAAGAGCTTTGCCAATCAACAACTCCGCTTCTTATAACGGTATTGTAAGCTTTTTTTTATAATTCTTTTTTTTATGCTTTTTTAAAAATTTTTGGTTAAAATATCCAATTAGTATTTACAGATTTCGTGCTGGAGGGTATCGATCACATGATGACCCTGTTCCCACATACACCATGTCTAATTGTTATTGAAGAAGACATGGTTTTGTTACCTGGTTTTTTATATTTCCTTGCGCAGCTATTGCCACACTTCTTGAAGGACAACACTGCGAACTTTATTCTTACGCTCAACGAGAACAGTAAGTTTTCACTTTTTAAAATTTTTCTGCTCCGCACGTCAATTGTTACAAATGATGTAGTTGTTCGGATTCCTTTTTGCTGACATTTTGAGGATCTAAGCTAATCTAATCGTTAGTTTCTCATTTTGAATGACGGATATATGGCCTTGTATAGCATATGAAGATGGATTGCTCAAATGACCATGCCATCCTATTAGTTCTGCTTGGGAGTCCTACATGTCATCTTAAGTTTCATCGGTGTTACGGTGTGACATGAGCTATAACACAAAAGATCCTATCCTTTTTTGCGGAGCGTTAGTTCTATGTATATGATGGAGGTAAAATATGATAAATTATTAGAAGTTGCCGTTCGATTAGGAGACCTTTAATTTCTTCTTGTTATAAAAAAATGTCGACCATTGCTAGCAGTTTATGGTTATTTCAAGCTGTTAAAAATCGTGGTGTGGATGTTTCTTCCGTATATCGTATTGAAAATGGTGCTGCAGCTGGTGCTTACATGTTGAAAAAATCGTTTCATGATAAATTTATAAAAAATCGACAGGTGAGTCTGTGAATCAAATAAAGAGGATTAATATGAATATGGCTATATACTGCTTATTCGATTGTCAGTTCTATAAGAAGGAAAGATTCGTAGTTTTCATGATGAAGGCTGAAAGAAATTTGGGAGCACCAAGTAACTTTTTATTAAATTAGGTCGGAAACCACCTGCACGTCCAAGTTGTTACAGTAAAAAGGCACTAGTTAGAGCCTTTGTATTCCCTGAATGTTCCGATGATATTTTGGCATTTTTGAAGTGTTGTGAAAGAACGAAATTTGGTTGGCTGATTTCCGTTATCTCATATATAGCCGCTGCATCGCGTGTTGAACATATCAAAACACTTGATTTGATTGCGTTGACGAAAGGTAATGAAGCGCCAACGGAATTACCTGAAAATAGTGATAACCATTTGCTGTTAGTGTTAAAACATTTATTATCACTTTTTGTATATGTGTTTCTCGTTGTCGTATTTTGTTGATGTCTCATATCTTTACCTTTTTTTTACATGAAGTTCCTACCGCGCTGATTGAAAAAATTATTTTTCTTGACTCAAATTTTCATATTGTGTTTGTTTTGGCAAAATTTTTCTACAAGATTTCAAAAAAACTTCGTTGAACTTTAGGAATGGAGATGAAAAAGTTGGAAATGCAGATCGATTAAATGAAGGAAGCTATGACGCGGAATTGAGAAAAATTGTTGATAGTGGTCGAAAATATTATGTGAACGGTTATATTAATTGTCATGACGATATGTTCAGCGCACATGATAGGAGCGATTCCAATACTACTGTTCTGTAAGTATTCTTTCTATTATGACTAAAATCAGTGCCGTTCAAATTTAGCGGAAAACAAATTGTATTAAGCTAGTTTGCAAGTGGAATAGAAATGTTCGAAAAGTATTTAAGACTAGAGAAAAGATGCAAATATTTTGACCATGGGATTGTTCAATCGCAGAGTGTAATTGCGTTACACATAGTCACTCATAAAAAGCACATCCAATCTTAGCATCTTATAAAGTTGCATAATATTCGTTGGAATTTCGAATTGAAAGAGTGTTTGATAAGTTATCAATAATTGAATTAGGCGGATCACTCTCCTGAAAAGTGAGTTTTATTTTTCATAGAAAGCCATCTTAATTCATCTAATGCGCATACTTGTCTTCTCAATTTGTATTTGTGCTGTTAGGAATGGCCGTTTTTGAGAAATTACAATGCATACCTCTTCAAGACTTTAATTTGTAATTTTTTCAATTTAAATTCCGTTAAAGGATTGAGAAGTGAAGTGAATTTCAGTTCCATTGTTATTATATATGATGAAAGTACGAGTGCACTGTCACAATTAGCTCGGTGTTTTGATTTACATATTACGAAGAATTATCCGTTAGGTTCATACAAAGGAATCACACGGTAAGTATAATCTATTACTCTTTTGTGCTTCATGTTCTTCGGTTTGTAAACTTTCATTGAGATTGCAGATCAGATTCAGAAGTTTTCTGATGATTTTGAAATTATTCAGATTCTCAACCACATACTCATCGTACTTGCTGGTTGCAAGCAATAGTCCTTTTCTTGTGAAATCTCAAAATCTCACGTCGACATCGTAACCTTCCTGATGAAGTTATCCTGATTGGCGCTCAAAAATGTTTGGCAGCAAGCTTCATATGTTATTTCCTTATGGTGTAAATTCCAAATAGATTTGTTTTGGATATTTTCAGTTCTCATTACACAATTTTTGCTGACGTATCGATATGAGTATATTAGGAATAGTGTATGAAGTACTTCTATAATATTCAGTGGAACCAGTTTCATTTATCTGCGATCAGTTTTCTTTAATTATTTTTAGAAAAAGCATTACATTGCATCAAAAGTCTTCCTTTTAATCGGAAAAATATGAATTGAGTTCGAAATTTAAAATTTGAATTGAAAAAATTCATATTTTTGTAATGTAAGTGCTCCCTTCGTTCTTTTCCTTTGTTTTTATATTTGTAATCTTCTCAACTTAAGAAGATTTTTTGGTTGCTATCAGATAGATTGCAGGTTCAATTTTCCATCTAAGAAAAATGTTTGTTCTTAAATGTAGAGATTTAATATTTCTTTCAAAGATAGAGCAAATTTTATTGTTAAGAAATCTTCAAATCTGTTAGCTATCGACGACCTATTACTTGTGTGAATTAAAGTATATGTCGTAACGACTGATATAGATGATCTTCTTGTGGTTTGTCAGTGCTGTAGAGTATGCATTGTCCATTTGCACCACTCAGTGGTATTCCTATTCTTTGTCATAATTCATTTATTTGATTCTGGAACGCTAAAATTCAATTCATGATTATTGCACTTCTTTAATTTTCATAATATTAGTTATAATTTATTATTCAAATGCCTTCCCTGTACTTGTTCCTGCTCCCTGTTTATGTGATAATTTGATGTATAACCAAAATATGCAAGTAATCATTTATAATGAACAAGAACAAGTATATCAGTAGTTATAGGGAAATATTGATTAGTGATTGTGCCAAGGAAATTGTTTATTAGTATGCGAGGAATGTATATGTCTGGTAAACAAAGTTTTTATGATTGTTACAGTTATACTTATGCAAAGGACAATTTTCATAATATCATTAATATATTTATTAGCAATATTTCGCACTTATGAACTTTTACTTGGATGAATTCATTCTGTTTCAGTGCTAACGGTGATAAGATGTTGATGAAAAGTTTGCTGAAATAAACTATATTGTTGCATGTCATTGTTACTTATATAAAGGTATTTTTTCAACGCATAATATATATTATAACAGTCTTGTTCAGTATTCAAAAATTTAATTTGATTACATTTAGAAAGATTAGGATGGGAGTGAGATAGGTATTCCAGACAAAAGATAGCATATCATATTCAGTGAGAGAGGGATAAATAAGCGATTTGCATTATAAAACATTTGTAATTAAGCAATCTCTTGTGGATGTTAGTGTTTTTTTTTAAATTAATGTTTAAATTAGGTAATCATTGGTCGCATCCTTGAAGGAAATGCTACATGATAAAGTTTGTTGATGATGCTTGTCAGTTTACGTAGAAGTATAGTGAAATGAAGTGCTATTTTTTTAAAGAGTGTTTCCGAAAATAAAGAAGCTCATTTAACATTAGCAGTTGCAAACATTTGAAAAGTTATGAGGGAGAGGGGAATTTATTCTTCAGAAGTTTTAGCTTCAAATTATGTGTTCTTTAGGAAGTATCATGGGCTCTTTGGTTCTAATAATTTTGAAATTTAATGGATTTATCAGATTTTCAAATCGAAATAATGCTGGCTGTTTGGTAGAACGGGCGAATAAAGGAATTTCAGGTGTAGGCGGTTCATTTTAATTGGCATCATCGTTAGTTTTTGTTCGATATTTTATTTGAAATAAAAAGTACAAAAAATATTATTGAAGATTTCGTCAGAAGCAAGCCTTTGGTGATGCAAGGGGCTGATGTAGAAGACTTTAGTTGGTCTTACACGGAAGAACCACATGCGAGCAGGTTAGTTTGTTGATTTTGAAATTAAATTTAATACTTGGTAGTCAACGAACGTGCCCGAATAGTTTTGAATATTTGCGATTGTGCAGTACTCCTATGAATTCCTTCAGACGAAATGAGATAATCCAGAAGTATCCGGAAATCAAGAAATATTTCGGTATCGATCCATCATTTAAATATGTCGTCGTGGCGATGGTTATCGCACAATTCAGCATTGCGTGGCTTCTAAGAGGTATATTTATAACTGGAATAATTTCATTCAATTTTCAGAAGCGACTTAAATGAAATGATTTTTTCTCAAATTACCAAGTGATTACGAAGAGTACAAGCAGGGCATGTTTATAAGATTCGAATTAAAAATTCTTTGAATGCATTATCGGCTATAATTTGAGGGGAAATGGTGTGCTTTTGAGGTGTTATGCTTCGTTTTAACATTTGGTAATTTGTGAGACACGTTCTAGGATGTTAGAAAATTATTTTATATGTTTTTAATGATAGATAAGCTCCTATATCTGCAGGAATAAATAGAGCACTGAACAAAATAACTAGAAACAAAAACGTAAGATCTAAATAAGTCAGGAGTGAATAATATCGATAAGTCTTCATATCTAAAATGCGACATCATTATATAGATTTTTATAAATGTTCCATCTAACTCATTTACTTTTTGTTCGAAAAAAAAACTTTTTATTTTATCGCAGATTCGGACTGGTTACTAATTTGTTTACAAGCATATTTTACTGGTGGTACCATTGGACATTCACTTACATTGGCTGTTCATGAAATATCACACAATATGGCATTCGGTTGTGCTCAACCTCTTGCAGTTTGTTTCATTTTGTTTTCGCTACAGAAAAAAACAACGATGACGTGGAAACCAAACGGTGTTGTGGAATTTTTTTTTTGTTCAAGTAGTTCAGTTTAGAGCGTGCAGCTTTTTACTCCTGCCCATATGACGATTATCAGTTACTTAAGTATTAATTTAGAACTCCAAAGAGTGCATAGAGAAGCAAAAAAAGGTAGTAATTGCAGACTTTCTGCTCAGTTAATTGTTTTTCAGAATTTTAATAACTTTTAATGTGGAAAATAGAGAAAAAGCAGGGGGGTGGAAATAAGAACAGTGGTTGAGGAGAATGTAGTTGGATCAGTAGATACAGCTTTCTATGCGAGTATCAATTTCGTGCTATAAGATAAACGATAAGCATATTTTGAAGGAAAGGATAAGGTTCATTTTGGGCGGCAAGGATTGAGAAGTAACTTCAGTTTGACAATTGAAAGAATTAATGAAGCGTACTGATTCCATCCCGACTGTTTTTGAAGGGTTTAAATTGTTCTTTATTTAAGAATCGTTTGTTTGGATTTATCGCTAATCTACCGATGATGGTGCCTATGTCGGTTTCCTTTAAGAAGTATCATTTGGAACACCATCGCTATTTGGGTAATACTTTCTTCTGTACAATAGTGGAATATTTATATTTTCGTAGTATTTCCAAATATAAAGTTCTTCACATTTCTCTATAACATAACAAAACATGTCATGTCTGAAATAATTCAGTTTTTCAGGCGAAGAAGTGTTGGATACTGATATACCATCGGATTTCGAAGCGCGATACTTCCGTCGTACTTTAGGGAAATTGTTGTGGGTCTTTCTCCAACCATTCTTTTACGCTTCAAGACCATTTCTTATTTATCCAAAAGTTCGTCAAGCTTGATTTTAAGTGTTTTATCTTATGAATACCATTCTATTTTGATGGAAAGGACAGGGTAAATTATATATATAGAGAGAGAGATTAAATTGTATATTACTGATATAGATACCTCAGCCAAATCTGTCGTTTATTATTTTACATTTTTCGTATTATTTTGTTGTTATTGTCAACTGAAAGCATCGTTTTTCAGGCTGTTACAGATTTAGAAATCCTAAATGCGCTGCTTCAGATTTTCACTGATTATCTCATTATTAGTTTTTTTGGTTGGAAAGCTCTTGCATATCTATTAGGCGGGTTTTTCGTGGGATCGGGTATTCATCCTCTTGCTGGTCATTATATTTCTGATCATTATGTTTTCAATCCTGGACAAGAAACATACAGGTATGTCAAATAAATGCAAAGATTTTTGGGAGAAAATAAGAAAAGCAGTGTGGGAATTTTCAATAGTGATTAGAAAAAAAGTAGCAAATATTGCATTTATACAGGTAAAAGGATCTTTGTTTATTTGCTTAAATATTTTAATCCTTTCAAGTTTTTTCTAAGATCTTATTCTGGACTGTTCTAACGGAATACCTAATTCGTGCATTTCTTGTTCATAAGTTAGTGTGGGTGCTATTTAGTACTCTGTTTTTTAGTTATTACGGGCCGATAAACTTAGTAACATTCAACGTTGGTTATCATATCGAACATCATGATTTTCCATATGTATGTGGCAGTAACCTTCCAAAGGTTCGTCGTTCATTCTTTCCTTTATGTTGCCTTTTTAAATTGAAGACAGACCGCTTATTACAATTTTCATTTCATTATCAAGAGCAGTTTCTTTTTTTCAGCGATATAATTTTGCAGATTAGAGCCTTAGCTCCGGAATATTACAAAGATTACGTGGTGCATTCAAGTTGGATTTACATTATGTACGATTTCATTACAAATCCAAAAATGTCGCTACATTCCCGAACCAAGCGAAAGGCGGCAAAACCAACGGATATACAATTTTTTGACATTGGACCAAATACTTCCTGTTACCTTTATAAGTTCTTCACATCTGTAAGCTGATTTTTGATAAATTGTGGTTAAAATAATTTCAAACACTGAGGTTGATTTCAAGATTATAATTTGAAGTTTTATTTGGAGTCCAACCTGCATATTCTGTCACTATATATAATTGACATTCATACAATAATTGATATTAAAATATGAAGCGTAGGATATGTTCAGGAAATCGTTAAGAAAACGCGCGATATATATTATCCAGTTATTCGGTGCATATGATAGGGTTAAATTACTGCTAGGAAAACGTGCATCAAATGACGGCATCGAGTTATCTTGTTGACTTAAAGTCTTATTTTGTTCATGTTATCATTGCTATTTTAATTTGCATATAAAATGACCTGTTTTCAGTTACTTAGAGGAGGACTGTTTGTGTTCAAGGACAAAACGGGCTGATTTTCGTTGTACCAGGAAGTTTTGTCAGTTTATTAATAATTTATCGACATTATTTCTCCTATTCAACTTTCTTACGGCTAATCCTATAGACACCGATGAGGCACCGTTTTTCATAAAACACTGTTTTGAATTTTGTCTTTGTCTCGTGCTATTGCTTTGTAGCTCATATTTGTAACTAAAGTTTTCTAAGTCATGGAAAAATCATTTATTAACTTATGAAATTTCGTCGTTTAAATTGCAATAATCGCGCTTTATTATATGAATGTATTATTCATCTATTTCTCATAGATAGTTAGTACTAAAAATGACACTCTTTCAGATTTTTACTTGTTCTATGGGGAAGAGAGTAGAAATTTTTTTGAAATAATGGGAGGAAAGATTACAAAGGCGGAAACATGAAAAATAATAATATATGTTCTAGATTTGGCAATTACAGATCATTTGAATTCAGTTTCTAAAATATTCTATTAAGCTTAGTGCTCTATGCGTATATAAAGGCTCAAAAGTTGAATTTTGATATGAGCTATAATTGCGAAGAGAAATACAAAAAAATATTTCCGGAAAACTGCACTTTCCAGTAGTCTTTTTGCTTCCTCGATAAATTGGTTTTCCATACTATTAGCTAATTGAATTTAGTTGAGGTTTTTCTTTCTTTTTTTATTAGCTTTATGGCTTGCTATCAGTGACTTGTTTCCTTGGTTACTCTCTGTCGTTTTCTTATTCATATTTTAGCGTTTGGAACTGTTCTCATCATCACATCAAAAGTGAATTGCAGCCTCATTCAAATTAATTTTTTCCAATCTTTTTTTTTATATTTTAATGATTGTCTTTTTTCTTCGTCGATTATAAATATTTTATTGTCGGCGACCAATGATTCAGATTTCCTCAATAAAATTTTAACCATTTGAGCTGTATTACCATGAATAAAAACATCTAAGGAATGTAAATATATTTAAATACTTTAAAAGCAGGAATAATGTGGTTATGAAGCGTTTATGTGAAATTTTAAAAGCATGAGTAATGTGGATAAGCGTTTATGTGAAACTTTAAAATCAGGAGTAATGTGAATATAAAGTGTTAATGTTAAGCGATTAAGAATCATAATGTTAATTACTACATACTAATGCCAATATTACAAGAGATGATATTATAGAAATGTCATAATATCCATTATGTTGGCCAAAACTATCTGGGAATAGTTGAAGTTAGCTGATCAATTGTTCTGCTAAATCGATAGCTAAATCGATCGTTTTAATCCATGTTTTATGAATAATTCAATTAATTGATTTGAAAGACTTCCGGGAAATTTCCGTTTAACAACTAGTATTGAACAGTCTAAATTACTGTGGTAAAATTGGTTCTTAGAGATAATAGGAATTAACTATAGGCAAAGTTTGAATGGATGTTAGCCTAATGAAACTTTTTATCAAATTGTTTCATTTAGTTAAAAAAAAAAAAAAGTTCTAAGATGACTCTTTCATTGTCATCCATTTCAATCACAATTTGTCAAATTCTGAAGAAAAATTAGGCATTAAAATTTTTCAAATTTACTTCATTTGCAACTAAGCGTTATCAGTTTAAAAGAAAACATTCCTGATACGTGCAATTATTACATATTTACATTTGTAAATTTTGAAATTTTCAGGAAAAGAAATTTTAACAGATATTTTTAAACATTACGAGTGTATTTCTCCAACTAAATTATAACAATAATCAATCAACCGATCAATCAATCAATGAATCAATAACATTATTAAAATCTTACTGCATAAATTAAGAAAGTTTTGCAAAATAAAAAAATAATTTTTTAATAAAATTTAAAATATTTAAATGAATGAAATTAGCAATTTTGTTAATGATCAAAAACAAATAGAAATGAGTTTTCATAAAAGAAAAGAAAAGGAAAAGAAAGCTAAGAAGAAATGGTAGTTAGTGATTGGTTAAATACTGAATTTATAAATATATAATGAAAAACGAAGCATTTTTTTTTCTTCGTAAATTTTTAAAGCATCAATATCAAATTTTATTTTTCTCTTTACTTCACATATATTAATGTGGATATTATTAAAAATTTTTTAATTTTTGTTTTTCTCTGTGAAATTTTAATTTAATTAATTTTACAGTAATTAGCATATTATCTATCTAATTACAATTTAATCATAGACAATAAACTATTTTGTTCGAAAAAGAATTATTTGTTCCAAAAAAAATATATCTATCATTAACGAAGGGAAAAGTGAGAATTCATGTTCGTATTGGCTGCCTGGTGGATGATATAATTTTATTGCTTGTTAAAAGCATTAAAATGGAATTAAAAAAAAATATTTATATATATATAAAAGCATACGTAAACGATTTGATCCATTAGTAAAAATGGTTTCTGTCAATAAATTGAAATGAAGCAAAAAAGAAAATTTTGGAAAGATAGGCGGTGAAAATTAGCTTAAATGAAATTCATTCATTAATTATCATAAATTTTATAATATATTATACGTAAGAATTGAATATAAATATTCTTTGATTTTACATTTTTATATTAAATTTCAAATATTTTGAAAAAGTGTTAGTTTTAGTTTTATATAATTTAACTTATCATTTTCATTCAAATATTATCACCATTATCACCAATATATGTATATATATATATATATATATATATATGTATGTATGTGTGATATTTGATAGATACTTATATCCTTATCATTTCATCAAAAATTATCATTATTAAATATTATATGATTTTCAGTATCATCATCATCAATATATATATATATATATATGTGTGATATTTGATAGATACTTATCATTTCATCAAAAATTATCACCATTAAATATTATATGATTTTCAGCTATCTTCGTTTTCTTTTAATCAATAAATATAGTTTAAATTTTGTTTTAACCAGTTAATTAAGTGTTTAAAAGTTTTACATTGAAAAACAAGCAGATAGTAGAAAGAATGTTACTAAATTAAGAATTCTCATCAGTTTTCGCTTTCTCATTTATTCCAAACTTTGCTTAATCAATCTTTATTTAAGAACTTAAAACAGAAAATTGCTACGAAAAAGTTGTGTAAATGGAAAAGTTTGATGAATTTCATTTTAAATTAAATAATTAAATTTTACAAATTTCCTTCATTTTCATCAATAAAATCGTATTTTCTCATTTATTTGCTTGCTTTATTTTGTTAAATGCTATTGCTGTTATTTGGTATTTATTTTATAGTATATAATTTGCTCGTATAAACATAAAATATTTCAATGATTTCATGATAAATTAATAATTTAAATTTAACGCTATGATAAATAAGCACTTCTTATTGATTAGATTAAATTTAAATTTTTGAATTATTTCTTTTATATACGACTATTATTTTGCCAACTTCGTCATTTCGAATTATTTCAAATATCCGATAACTTTTTATCATTTCTTCTACTAATTCTATTACTGTTCTCTTACTAATAGTCCTACTACTGCTAATTCTATTATTCTGTTTTCCCTTTCTTTTTCATTTATTTCATACATTTAAATTTATTAACTTAAAATACGATAAATTTTCAATTTATTGTGTTTGATATTTTTCCTCACTATTTCTGATCAAATTGTTTGCAAAAAAAAACTGCTGAAAAATTAAAATAATAATGAAAATAATAATAATAAAAATTAATAATAATAATAATAATAATAATAATAATAATAATAATAATAACAGCAATAATATGTTGCAATTATCACTTCATTTATACATAAAAATTTATTAAATATAATTATATTAAAATTTTTCAACAAAATTTTACATAATTTGCGCTGTTTTAGCATTAGCATCAATGAAATGAAATTTTATGCCCGAAATAACAAATAAAAGTAAAATAATAAAATTTCAACAATTAGCAACTGTTTGCTACAAATATGTTTTAAAATTGAAACATCTGTCAATTTTCTTCTATTTTGAGAAATATTTGAATACCTTCGATATTTAATTATTTATTGCTATTATATTTAAAAGAAAATGAAAATGAAAAAAAATCATGAATTATTATTAGAAATAAAAAAGAAAATAATTTTCAAAAATCATTATCGATTTGTCATTATCATTATTATTATTATTATTATTATTATTATTATTATTATTATTATTGTTATTACTATTATTGTTATTATTATTATTATTGCTGGAAAAAAAATTCTGTAAAAAAAATCATTACTATCATTAAAATCATTGCTGAAATTATCACAAGATTGATAACAATGATAATTTTAGCAATGATTTTAATTCTTGTGATAATTAATTGGAAATTGTAGCAATTTTTGAAAAATTAAAATTTAAAAGTTTCTTTGAAATAAACAATTTTTTCTTTGATAAAAAAATAAATCATAATGAAGCTTTCTTCTTTCCGTTCTTTACTATTTCATTCTAATAGTTATTGTTCTGTTCAAAATTCAACTAAATTTAAATTTAAACTTTTAGCTAAATAGCCATAATTAATAATAAGTTTCTTAATATAACACATTTGATAAATCTTTATTTACGTTTATAGTAAATAATAATGATGAAGTGATGTAAATTATTTTAATAATTAATGATTAAGCTTTTCACTCATAAAATAATTGCTGTACTTTTGATAAATATAACAAGAAGTTATATTATCTGTAGAAAGGCTACTACAATAAGGCTACTACAAGAAAATTTATCAATTTTACAAACTGATATGATTATTAATTTTATTATTTCAAAAAAAATTTATGCTATAATTAAATTAATTCATGCACATAATTATGCTTGTGTTGAAAATTTTCGACAATATCTTCAACATTTTACAGATTGAAAATGCTTACGATTGTTTTTCATTCAATGGGTTATTTGCTTGTTGCATTGGCATGCATTACGTTGACACATTCGTTGGAATCACCAGAACTAGGTATGATTAAATTGGATTGTAAATTTAAATTTATTGTTAAACAATTCCTTCTCATCCTTCATCATCATTCTTCCAAATTTTTTT